TCGGGCATCATAGTAATTATATCAGCAAAAGATCAGTCAACATTCAGACGACGCTGGTGACACGAGCAGGTTTACACCACACGATCCAGTGTCACCACACTACCTTGCCATTCGCAGCAGCTTGGCTGCTCTCATCCTCCGAATCCACAAAGATCGTATGGCGACCCGAGTAGTCGTCCAACCTAGTGTAATACAGGCTCTCACAGAGTTACCCATAAAGCTGACGATACTACAAATGCAGATTTTTTTTCATTTTTTCAATCTTCTTCTCATCAATGACTCTTCTGTTAGAGACATAACGTAGATCCTGGGTGTCCACCAACTTCAGCTGATCCCGGTCCAGCTTCGCCCCCGAATGAATCACATCGCCTACAAGTACCATATAATCAATGAAAATATAAAACGTAATACGTGATACGAAAATCACTAGTGAAAAATATATTTCACGACTACTGCCACTACTAAAATATCGACTTTTTTAACGGTGGATTACACCACTTCACGTGAAGCGGGCGAAGCTGAAACATTATATGATAATATCATAATACAAAATTGCAATCCAGGATAATATTTACACCAAAAATGGGGATAATATACGAATGTCCAATCGCCCCCCCCCTACGGATTGAATGTTGATTAAAATCAGATTGTGCCTAGTTGCTGAAACAGTGTGGGAAAATATGCACATCATCAACTACATTTGTTGGTGACAGTAATGATATTTTGAGGAAATTCTCATTGCTTTCTCAAAATTTTTCACCTGGATTCGTGTGTAAGCGAGAAAATTTCTAAACTCAATTGAGGAAGCAGCAATGGTGACTGTTAAGAGCCGATCAACATCCACGAAAGTTCTCCCTGTTATTACTACCTTTCTTCTGTTTAGAGCTGGTCATGCGGTAGTAGAACTCATCCTTGTTGCGAAGGGCCGCTTTCTGTCTCAGATTATCTGCATTTAATTCTCCCACTCTCTTTTCAATTCGTAAAGGATCTCCTACTTAGTTGGTCTTCCTTCTTATGATAATCCTTAGCTCGTTTGCTATAGTCCTTGTGCTTTTCTAGTAGTCCCAGCTTCTGCCGAGACGCCAATTGATGCCTCTCCTTATGAGTCCGTCGGGCAACCACATGCCTGAGGGCTCCGCTGCCAGATGTCATAGCACAAGACCACTACACGAACTGTCCGCTACAACGGGAAAAGTTTTTATTGGAAAAGCAAATTACACCTAGGCATGCCAAACAACGAGTTCGAGAGAGAAAGAGGTAAACTCTTCAGCAGTTCATTTTCAGCGGAAACAGAATTATACACGTTTGACAAAGTAGATCATACGAGTTACAAGTGCAACGTTCAGCAGCCCCCCAACAGAGCCCCGACCGGCGAAACGATGGTATGTAGCATTCGCTTCACCAACGAGTCTTGTATTATGCGGCGGGTTCAAAAGTTCACCCAGGATTAAATATCACATGTGAAACTCGACCTTGGGAACGCTCTTGGCACTCAGGAGAGGTCTATTGAACCTCATCCCAATAGAGTTCTATGATCCAACTCTGCGTCACTATATAACCGGAAAAAACCGTCGGATAGATATTTCGTGCAATTGCAGGTATTCTTCGTGACGCGATCGTCTTTGTCCGGCCGTGAGCTACTCATGTAAGTCAGACAATCTTAGATGATAGCACTCGCTGTTGCGTCGCACCGCCAGCAGAGGGAAAGGTGCACCGCTGTGTCGAGTACGCGGATCTCAGAAATTCCTCAACATTGGTCTAATGATTAGACTCTAATGATTAGAGTTCAATCCCTTCTTCCTCAGCCAGGTTGGGGTCCAACCGTTGGGCTAGGTAAAGGCTTTCACTGATAGATCCCCACTAGAGGAAAAAGAAGGTTCATCAAATGATGATCATCATAGTAGTGCTCTTTTCTGGTGTTTCGAACGATCTGTATGCGATGTCCCCTACAGGGCATGAAGTATAGGTTTTCTCGGATAGACAGTATGATCATCATACTATGATGCTGTCAGTAATACTGCTACGCTCCTTCCTGTTCCCCGCTGATTAATCACGCCAACGTTCTACTTCGTTCAGGTCGTGCTGTGCGTGCTCTATATGGCTTCGTATTTGCATACTGACGACATCATACTGAATAGTATCACATAATTATAGTGGATTCTAACTCTGAATATCCACTAGAGTTATATGATAATATTCAGTTGCTCAGCAAACTAACTGTTGACGACGAGACAATGTGAGGCTTGCATTGGGACTCCTTTTCACCACGCCGTTTATCGCCACCATCATAACTATGACGACGATCATCTGCGGCGTCTGTAAATCGCTTCCATTAGAGGCCCGGATCAGATATGAGATGAATGAGCATGATATGAGCTCTCCACGGAGAGCTCAGGTTGAGAATTGGATGAAAGAATACGGTTCACCACTTGTAACATTTAATACCTGGTTTGCCTTTTCCAACCATCAGCTGTTTTCCTTCATCGGCACCCACTGTGGGTGACCCAGAATTGCAGCTATTGAAAAGCTGCTCTTCGATATACGACGGAGTGCATCTAATGAAAACTTGCCCAATGATTCATGTCCCAATCCCAGTCTGTTCCAATCTGTTAAACTCTACTCTGCCATACGATAACGCTTCAAATGGTTCAACGAATCAATCACTGATCATCAATGCTGTTTAAGCAACTACGTATAGCCTGCATATTGAACGTCTATATTGAATCAGTAGCCCAAAGAGCCGTGCATGACCTGCCAGAGAGAAGACATGTTGAAGACTCCATTGTGTTCACCCTGACTATACGTAGACTGTGTAACTAAACAAGACGGCATGTAAGTAGAAGAGGAGTCTGGTGGTGGGGGGATAGGAGTGGTGGGGGAGGAGAAGGTGACCACACGATGA